CGTGCATGTAGGTTCCTTTAGCCCGTAAGTGGGTGGAAACCGGTTGACTGCAGGCATGACTCTGAGGCCAATTGTCTGAAACTGATAAATGAAAGATCACATGACCGTTTTTTTCACAAGGACGCTACTGACGGAGTTGCTGAAATCTCTTCGACAGCCCACGACCGGCTCCGCCCTTCTAGGGGTTCATCAGATGGGCGCAGTCTCCGAGTTTCCGTCAGCCTTATGTTCTACTTGAACCCAAATTGGACTGTTTTCGAAAAATACACTCAGTTGCAAGTCAGTTGGGTTTCCACGAGAGAATCAACTAAATCGCTCGTTTATGGTGTTCTTCAACTGAATTTACTGCACAAAGGCCGCCTCATGTTTCTGTTGGTACGATATTCGAGATATTACAGCCTATTCCCATAAGGGAAGCTACTTACAAGGTTGCTAAAAACTCTCCAACAAAGGAGTGCATTCATCGAGATCTGACCAATTTGGTCTCAAGTAGAACATAAGGTTGACGGAAACTTGGGGACTGCGCCTACATGATGAGCCTCAAAAAGGGCGAAACCGGTCGTGGGCTTTCGAAGAGGTTATAGCAACCTAGTGAGTAGTTTTCATTATGAAAAGATACTACGCTATCTCGAATGTGGTACCAGTTGAAACATCAGGCGGTTTTTTACAGCACATTTAGTTGAAAAATATTATCATAAACGAGAGATTCAGTTGAGTCGAGGTGAAAACCCAGTTGATATGCAAATGAGTGTATCTGTCAAGACCACGTGACTGGTACATTACTAGTTGGCTCCCTCGGGTAGTGATCGCAGGTTTTCTAAATCTCTAATTGAGTTCCGAACTCAAATTCGATAATTATCATTCTCTTTACTATGATCATTAGTTATTCAGACTAATTACTCACTAGTGGGATAACTACTTGAAACATTTGGAACAAGGATTACACCTAGAAGTTTCTTCTCCGCCGAACTAATGTAAATTTAACTGTTCTGCCACAAAGTACATCCATTAGAAAACCGTCCAGAATAAAGTGTATTCCTAATGCGCTACTCATAAGGTTGCCGACAATTCGTTGACAGCCCACGACCGGTTTCGCCCTTCTTGGGGCTCAGCAGGTAGGCGCGATCTCCGAGTTTCCGTCAACCTTATGTTCTACTTGAAACCAAATTGCACGAAATTAGCGAATATACACTCATTTGCAAACTAATTTGGTTCTTTCGAGAGACTCACCTGGAACCCAGCTGAATCTCTCGTTTATGATGTTCTCAGGCAACTGAATGTGCTGCACCAGGCCGCTTCATGTTTCAGTCGCTACGATATTTGAAGTATCGCGATACATGTATATTCATAATACCTGGCAACATCACAAACGAGAGATTCAGCTGGGTTCTAGGTGAATCTCTCGCAAAACCAAATTAGGTTGCAAATGAGTGTATTTTGCTAAATTGTATTCCATTTTCCTGAGGGATACTCCTCATAAGGCTGCTGAAAATTCTTGGACAGCCCACGGCTCTCTCCAAGAAACTGATACGCCCGTTATTAGAGTACTTAAGTCACACTCACTCTAGCCCTATTCCCCATTATCCAGAGGGTTTTTCTCAGTCGAATAAGGTGAATTATTATTACAACTCATTTTATCCTCTTTCCGTGTTACTAATCAATAGGTCTGTCATATCGATCGCTTTCATCTAGCAATCAAGAGAATTCCCGCTTAGCGATGACCATGTGACTCCACATAGAAAAGTTGTAGCTAACAGCGCACGAGGACAAAGCAAAACAACATAAGAGTTCCGTTCTTCCGTTTCTACTATCTCTGTGAATTAACAAAAACCTAGCAAGTGAACATCACTACGTCAAAAAGCACGTCAGTGCCATGATTAATGTGCTACCCTCACCTGGTTCTCATTAACTTTTTTTCAGTTTATCAAACATAAAGTAGAAAATAATAGTATTTGTGCGTAGATGCTATGCCAGCCAAACGAACAACGAAGCCCGAGATGCTATCGGGTTCCCCAAGCCTAGGCAGGAGCAGTCGAGATGCCGGGGTTGGCTTCCGTTGACTTAAGCCCGAGATGCTATCGGGTTCCCCAAGCCTAGGCAGGAGCAGTCGAGATGCCGGGGTTGGCTTCGAACCGTTGACTTTGCAGTCGGTAAGTTCGCACCTCAACCACCGAGCTACCTCGAGCTCCACTAAAGAATTAGGTATACGAGGACGAAACTGGACACAGTTCTTTGCACACCAGTTCCACACTGATTTGAGTTAGCTTGTCAGTTAGACGAAGACCACTGGGAATCAGTCGACAGAGATCCTCAAAACTTGGGATAGTGTGCAAAGCACGATTTACTGAAGGCTCTATAATTCAGAGCCTAAAAAAACTACTAATCAAACGAGTTGTTTGTTGCGGTTTAAACTTTAGTCCATCGGGACCTTACCATTAGATCACTACGAGGATCCCTTCCACAGTAACCTATCCATTGAGGAGAGACCACCGACCCGTTTTGTTGCAGAGGGAACAGTTTCCTTTGGAAAACAAACTTTTCTCCGATTTGGTTTTGCATCAATATCTGCTTTGTCGGTCATTTTATCATTCCCCTTGCTGTCACTCTTCTCCTTGAAGACCACGCTGTTTGAGCCATCCTTAGTTGTCCCTGGCAATTCGGGGATCAAAACCCATGATTAAAATGTATGCTCGCTCACATACATTACAAGCGCTGATGATATTGCTTGTCTTACATCAGACTCTTTAGAAACACAAACTATCGTAATTAGCTTAACCGGACATATGGCCACTGCGCGTCGAGCACAGTTGAAGGCTCTTGGTGTTCGACCTTTGGTACGTGTGAAGAATTTTGCTGGCCTGATGAGAACATCAGATAGTTTTCAGGAGATCCGATTCTCTCTTGATTAGTCACCTGGTCACATACTTTGCGTGCCAGATGACCGTCTGCCTCGCGGAGCCCCCCATACCCATCCTTGTGCGGGGATGAGACGACCCAGGGCCGGTAAGGTCATGAGTTGAAAACAAGGCATGGAAGCACTTACTGGTCAACTCAGTTTCATTGGCAACTACGGTCTCCCCGGACGGTGACTGCGGGACGAAGATTTGTGCCTCTGATACATGCATGGTGTCACGCAGCCACTGGTGCTCTTGCACTGAAGCTAATGTCTTCACCACACAGACCTCACTCCTTGTCATACCGAATAAACGGAACCATTTAACGTCAATGAACTGATCGAAACATCACCTTCAAAGCGTGACTTTCATTCCTTTCTTCTCTTTATCTTCGGTGAATGAAGCTGTATCAACTGGAACCATCGCATCTTGGTGCACCGCTTGTGAGCTGAGATCCTGAAATGAACCTTACTAATGAACGAACAGAGCGTCGCAGTATACCTTGTCGTAGCATTCAGTTCAGTTTATCTGAACATTTCAAAAAAATTGCGAGCTTGAAACCAAACAAAAATGGTGGTTTCTTTGACTCTCATAGAGTGGAATTCCACAGTAGGNATGATATGGTCAAGTACAGACACCGCTCTTCATCTCTCATCTTAGCATCGGGCACCCGTTTATTGTGGATCCGTAGAAACTCATCTCCCATCGGCTGATTTATCTCGCATTATCGAAAAAGTGTGCTATCACCGACGAATGCTTATGTTGTCAATAGATAATCCCTTAGTTTTATCTGTTCATTTATACTACCTCTGTTATGGGCTAGTCCAACGAATATAATTGGGCGTTAACACGACTGACAAGTATTCACTGGGCTCTGAGACGTGATGTATACCGGAGAGAGGACGCCATCCTGAATTTGCATCGATGGAACCACATTTGAAGGTCACGTGACCGTGCTTGTTATAGCGACTTCAGTATTCTATGGAGTTCCGTACAAACGTTCATCTGCTGTATCAAAATAAGCTTTGTATTTTGATGTAGATTGCATATCACGGAAAAGTTTATCGGGAAACTTCTAATATCATTTGCCTAAAATGTCACGTTCCTATAATATGTGTTAGCAGAAAAGAAGGGAATCGGGTCTCATTAGTGTAACGCAGGCGACAGACAAATCTCACAGATAAATTACCCGAATGTGACCTTGAAAAATGTTCAAGGCCAAGTTAACAAGTACTTGTGCTTCATCGATCTCGTTTATTACGGTTCGTTGAGAATAGGTGCTTAGTGGTTATGAAGAGGAAAACTCCGGATGATGGTAACTTTTTTAAAACATTCCTAAAGGCTATCTAAAACGAAGTACCAAAAGTCGATATCAGCAATCTGTGTTCAGATGATACCACGAAAGTTCAGGGATTAAGGCGCCAACCTAGAGTGCAGAAGGTCCGTATTTCGAACCCAACCCTGGCCTACCGACTGCTCTTGTCTAGGCTGGGGCAACCAGGCAGTAGTTCAGTGCGGGTGTCGTGGCAGTGAATGTCGATTACATAGTTGTATTCAGGTGCAACCTCAATACGTATGGAAACGAAGTTTCCGCATCTGATACATGATTCGGACTTTAAAAACGGAACAACCTGGAGCCTTTTTGTTGATGAAGAGCACACACTTCACTCACAGCCAATACGGTCCATCGGGTGACCAACAAATCGAACCACAGGTTAAACGAGATGAAAGCTCGTCTCCTGTCGAAAGATAAATCAGAACTGACCTCATAGTGACGGTTCAATCTGTCAAGAATTCTCCGATTCTTTTTGGTGCGTAACGTTAGAAGGACCAGGACACTACCGTACCTATCGACTATGTTTCCTAACTTGTTAAGGAAAGCCTTAATTTGAACGTCATTGCATATGATCACTGTGCACCACACAACAAAGAACACCCAGAAGACAGACTTCGGAAGTTTTGAAACGATAGAAACAACTTCCTTTGGTAGACGACGGAAGTAAGTTCAGTTAAACTTTGGCAAAATGAATCACAGTGCTGTACATGCAAAACTGCCCAATCTTTGAGCTGAAGTAACAGTACAGAATCTAGAAACCCATTTCCTACCTTTTTGTTTCCATGTGGTGAATCTGGCGGTTGGGTAGCAGAGAGATCCTCTAATTTTGCAAGGTTTTGTGGAGTCGAGAAGGAACGTCTATCCAAGGGCTCATTTTGTACAACCGGATGTTCAATTGTCTTTCGTTCCGCACTGGCACGTGTGACGTGGAAAAAGGCCCTACGTTTTCCTTGCCCATTAGGCTGACCGCATTCCAGTTCACATGCTGACGTTTTTCTTTGAGCCTCCTCGTCTGTCTCCATCCCGAAATTTGAGATTTTCTAGACGATGTTCCCAGCTCACTCCACAAAGAAATTCTCACTGATACAGAAGGGTCATCACAGAGATGCAGGCTAGTCAAACCCTCAGACTCCACTTTTTATCTGTATCAGTTACCAGCTGATCAGCCATCGACCCAATCAGCTGTCTTGCATTATGTGTGAAATGTTTGTGCAGCATGCAGACAAAAGGGAATTTTTCGGTGGCGAATGGATTTACTTTGATGCACGTGCGCACTTGCATGCGCGCTGCAACCTGTTCTCGCGCGTCGATACATCAACCAATCGGATAATGAGCAAACGCTGACACGTGACCACACATACAGCATGTATTGCTGATAGGCTTGTGTCCGAACTATGGTGTACGTGTGTACGCAATGGAATTCACAGGCAGCTTCAAGCTATGCTAAACTTGCTTACCACTGGAGTGAAGCTGGCCAATTTATCTGGCTTTTTTGTGATCCGACAATGAAATGCAAACACTTTCTTATATCTTTCCAATATGATCAGGGTTCTGTACGAACGGTTGTCAGCGGACCTGGAGTCGTCAGACAGCCAGGTAGCGCGCAATGGACCAATTGCACGATAACTTTGTGATGCTTTGTACGGTGTGACTGGGGTCGCATGTGTAACTCAACTCTGCACACAGGTTTCAATATTTTCTCGCATTCTTCACAAGTCTTCTCATCACGACTGCTCAGCGTGACGGATCGATAAAAATGACCTTCAAGGTTATTCTTGGTCACTGAGCAGGTCCTAGTAACTTCATCATTTTTTCAAGTTCCCGAAGAAGAGATCAACTAGAGCGATAGAGACCAAAATACACAGTACAAACATTAGGTCATATTCTAAGCGTTCAAATTTTCTCACTGTATCTTACAGAGGTGTTATTGAAACCGTCAGTAGATAAGAGGATTGAATACACTGGGGAAACTAAAAAACGACCGTTCCTCACTCTTTCCTCATCAGCAAGCATTTTGTGTTTCATCCCTTAGATTTGTTGGAATGATTGATTCTTGAGACAGATCTGCGACTCACTGTGAACCTAGAGAGCATGATGACACCTCGGATGTACAATGGTGGAAGGCTACGTGACCAAAAAGTGAAGATTGGGTGCAACAAAATGCTCATAAGGTCGCTGCAAATTCTTCGACAGCCCACAATCGGTTTCGCCCACCTTGGGGCTCATCAGGTAGGTCCCTGAGTTTTCGTCAAATTCATTTTCTACCTGGAAAAGAACATCATAAACGAGAGATTTAGCTGCGATTGAGGCGAGTCACCCATGAAAACCAAATTGTTATGCCAATGAGTGTATTTTTTTTAATTTTGGGCTGTCTTGAAAGCGAAAGAGAGACGTTTCAGCAAGCAGGATTTTAAAGAGCATTGGACCTCTGACCTTGCATGTAGAGGAATAAACACCTTTAATATGCTTCCTCGATAATACTGGCAACTTCAGAGTGGCATGAATTCGGCGATCTATTCAACAAGTTCTACCGTCGTATTCTGAGCGTCATATGAGCGACGGGAATCTCAAGCCTGCCCACCTGCCCACCAAACCATATTGTCTAAAGGATGTATTTCTGATTCGAAAATGTCCATTTTGGAGCAGTTCTCTCTCCTCTGTAATTTTATCTCTTCGCTGATCATTTTTGAAAAGCTGAAAACGACCGTTTACATGGCCAGAGGTTGTAAAACAGTCTTGGAATCGATAAATGGGTTTCTAAGCACACTCATGCATCGATTTAAGGGAAATGAGCACAAACCTCCGGGAGAATGTGGTCTCTTTTACCATGAGTTTTCTCACGTGACACCGATTCACCCGGTCTTTCGGGGATGCCTTGCTATTGAGGTTGTTCACGTAGTCGCAATTGCAATCGGGAGTGCTTGCTGAACTCTCTAAAAGTCTCCGTACAAAAGTGAGGTCCAGTGATAATGACCATTCCCTCCGTTGTTGCTGAGCCCTGTCGTTGATGAAATTAGAAGGCAAACCCTGAAAAGCCATCAAGACCCCGGTGATTCACCTCGATCTGGAGTACGCGGACGACATCTTTTTTTACATCTCGGAAGGATAGTGTGGAATGAGAAGAAGCAGAAGTATGGTGCTGATGAATATTCCCTTGCCATAATCTCAGCCCTACATGCCATCGGTTGTGATATCGACTTTTTGGTTCACCAACCGATGATCATCTCTTATCGAGGGATCTGCTTTCCTCAATCCGCTAAGGCTGTTATTGGACTGGGACTTCCTAAGGTCGCAGTCAGTGACTTGTGTTTGCTTGCCATTGTGGGCTCCCTGCGTACTTATGACACTTTTATGCGTGGCACATGGCGTTGAAGGTACATTTTTGCCATTTAATCTCACACCAGACCCAGTATGACGGTCACTTTGTGCCTGATGTGCGAGTCTTGACTGTGCTAGCGCACACTGCGCCTTGAAGAGCATTCACCATTGTTTGTCCTTTCTTTGGTTGTTGGTCCTTAGACGCGTGTTCCCATACCAAAATCTTTACATACTTTGGGATTCACCTCATCAGACTGGCACTGCCCTTGGCATGATCTCGAATGAGACGTTTCTCTCTTTTCTCCCATATTCTCCTGTTACTCTTTCGCATTCATCGCTTGCACTCACTTTTTATGTTTGTGACCATGCTCTTCAAAAATAAATGATAATATTTAAATAGTGTTAAATCTGATGGAATTGTGCCCAATGAGGTCAGTGCACGAATCTCAAAGGCCACAATCACGTTTGCTGATTTGCACTACCAGTGGCGTCAAAAGATACATCACTGGTCCTTGAGAATCGCGTCCACCTGACTTTAGGAAGGGTCGTTTTTTGGAATGGTTGTGAAACATGGATTCTCTAATCAGCTAGTGTGATGCATCTTTAGGTTTTTTTTATTTGTCAGCTGTACTAACCGCGTACTTGTCGTACAGTGGTTGTAGCTGCCCCAGTTTC